GGAAATATTTTGGCTAAATCAACGTCTTTTTTTTTCCTTTAGATTTAGTAGCAGCCGCCGTGTACATACGCAAACGATATTTTTCAGCCAACTCAATGGCCGTACATTTCTGTTTGCGGAAGTTGGCGAGCGCACCGTACAGTGCCAGAGCGAGATAAATCCCTGCTTCCAAGAGATCATCCACTGTTGTACCTTCCTCCTTGAATTTCTCTGCATATTGGTGGAGTTCGCAAGACTTCTCGAACAACCTGCAAAATGCCACTTTGCCTCGATAGTATGAGGCTGACGTGGTGTCGCATCCACTGAATGCATGCAGGACCAGAATGTTTGATTTTATGCTTTTATGCATTGATGATAAACTCTTTGGAGAGTACACGACCCCAGGCTTCTTCGAGGAAGGGGGATTTAAAAAGAAAATTTCTGGTTTGTCTGGAGAGAGAGCTGCAAGTAGAGCCAGCACGTCTGTGTCTTCTGAAACCACAACGACATTGCCTAGATGGTGCTCAGCAGTCTTTTTGGCCTGAAGCACTATATCCACATCCGCGTCTGCTTTACTCATTATTGATTAGATTAGATTAGATTAGATTAGATTGAGTTTCGTCCCATGATTTTCCGATAATTTTTATTCATCCTTCTTAGAAGATTAACGCCCTTCCCCAAAACAATCAGAAATAGTCATCGCACGCATTTGGCAGGGTCAAATTCGGAATCAGCACCGGCAAAACCCCCGAGATCCATTTTTCCAGTCATTTCGGGAACTTTAGATTTCATACCCCACGAGCATAGGGGTGTGCTCGCTTTTTCACCCTCAAATTCGGAATCAGCACCCGCGAAAACCCCCGAGATCCATTTTTCCATTTATTCGGAGAACCTTGCAATCCGCGTGCCCCCCGCGCCCCCCAGACGGCCGGAAGTCGCCCCCCGGGTGGTCGGGTGGACTGGATATATGCATATTCGAATTCTGCGCCCCCCAAAACCCCCGAGTACCAATTTTTGCGGTATTTCGTGCACTTTGGCAAGTTTCTCGGATGCGATGCACTTTATGCACCCGTGATGCATTTCCGCCACTTCCGGATAATAAAAAAAGGCGGGACTTTTTTCCGACGGTCTTTTTGAACAAAATGCAGAAAACCGCATTAAAATCGGACCGGGCCGCGAAAATCTAGATATTTTGGGGTAAATCGTTCTTTATTGCCTGGTCTAATAGCGCACTAGTCGTAAAACTGCATACTTTACTTTTTATCCGATTCAATTATTAATGAGACTGTTTCACAAAATCCTGATTTTCTCAAAAACGGTTATTTTTTTCGGCCCTTATTGGGCTTCCAACAAATTCACATTTTTACCAATTAAAGATATAGTAAAAGCAAATCATGTACCAAATTTAGTTGCTCTCTGTTAAGGCATTGCTGAAATATTATTGTTTTTAAAAATTTAACACTCATCTTCAGAGGCCAATAATGTGAATTTATGACGTTTCAATTTATTTATGTTGGTCTCACATTTAATACGTACTGAAACGCGGTATTGCAGTATTGACGCATATAATACATCGAATGAGCGCAGCTTTGATTATTAGCTTTGAGCTGGGCCTTTATACATCCAAAGTCGAATTTATTTAATAAATTGCTCGTTAGTTTGTATTCAGATTGACGTATAAATTTGCTATCTTACTTTATCGAGTTTAACTCAACACAGTGTCCCTAAATTACAAGATAAACGCAGCTGAATATGTCTGTATATGTGCTGCCTAGAGACTGATTTGATTAAAACTGGTAAGAGAAATCGCACAAAACCGTTTAGGAGGAATAAAGTTATAATGTATATCCTTTTATTTTCCTCAAATAAGTGTAAAAAAATAATTTGAAGTGAAATATTCTACGGTCTCCAAAATTTGATTATTTTTGTTTTAAATATTAAGAAAACTAAATACAAATAATTAATAATAACCGATTATTTGATACTGGTTTTGGTTTTAGGTGCCTTTCTGATTCCGTATACCATCATGCTCATTTTTGGTGGCCTTCCGCTTTTTTATATGGAGTTGGCCCTGGGGCAATTTCATAGAAGTGGTTGCCTTACTATATGGAAGAGAATATGTCCTGCATTAAAAGGTAAATCTATAACAAATTAAAAAATATATATGTACAGTGTGTTTCCGGATGGGTGCAACACTCTAGCGAACTTCCTGATCGTTTCGCATTTCTCGAGAAAACATTCCTGATAAAACAATTTGTTTATCTTGCGATCAAACTTGTGATGACATATGCTAAAAAAAGATAGCAAGTACATTTATTTTTTAATTTTGTCAAAAACTATTTAACAAATTTGTTTGTTTGAAAGCTAAAGAAATACTTAACTATACAGAGTGTTAATGATAAGTTTTGCCAAACGCTAATGGCGTATTCTACCGATGAAAATAATCAAAATTTGCCCTATAAAAATTTTTGATCGGACGCTTCCCTACGTAGATACAGGGTGTTAAAAATTCCAAATATTTATATTATTTTTCCTGTAATTTCACTGGCTTAGTTATTGGGGGAGAAGGGAACCTTTTTTGAAAAAAAAATCGTACATGACTGGTTTTTTAAATAATTTTAAATGTTTTTAAAATATAATTCTTGTAAAGTATTCGTAAAATTTACTGGTCTTTAGATAATTGGGAAATCAAATAAGTAGATACTTCAGTACCTACGTTGCTATCTACCATTTTCTATTGATTGCTAAATGTGTAACAATAAATTCAATACCTAAATATTTTTGAGAGATTCAAAATACTATACTACCTACAACATCGCAAAAAAATGTTCAAAATGCTGTCCTTGGGATGCAATGCATGCTGCGCATTGTCTCCGCATTGATCGTCTTACACGCTTCATAATTCCAGCCGTATTGTGGTATGGTTACGAAACCCTCCAAAATGCACTGACAAAATATTTCTACATTGGGAACTGGAGAACGATATACCATAGTTTTGAGGTAGTAAAAAAGTAATCCAATTGGTTCAGGTAGGGAGAAGCCAGCCGGCTAAGCAATGGGCCCTCCTCTACCAATCCATTGATTAGGATACTGATTATTCAGCAACTGTCTAACGATAAGGCTGTAATGATGTGGTGCCCCATCATGCATATACCACAATAATTGACGTAACCTCAATTGCACTTTTTCTAAAAGTGGTGCTAATTCTTCTTGTAGGAACCTTTGATAAGTTCTACCATCGAGGATTCTGGGTAAAAAGTAGGGACCAATCAAGTAATCGCCCACAATGATATAAATGATAAAATAGATACACAACACTATTTTAACTTATTAAAATTATTTATTTATTCAATGTCGTAGAAATTCCGCCTCTCGGTATCTCCGTCGCTGGTAGACATGTTTCTGTGCCAATTCAGGGAATTTTGGCTTTAATTGATGAACTGATAAAAAATTTCCACGGCCTATCTTTGACGAATAGTAGTGAACTTAGAATAGAAAAAAGACACTCTTGTTTTTTTTTTGTCTGTTTCTAGAAAGTAAATATACCGGGTGTTCCACATAAAACTTGTCAGCCTCGTATCTCTTCTACGGAAAGAGATACCTATTTTGATTAAAAAAAAACAAATGGAGCTCATCGATGGTTTCATCAAGGAGTGCAACTTGATTTTTTTCAGAGCAAATTGGAGATGGCGCTGAAGTCGAAAAATATTTTTCGTTGGCAGGAACTTTGTAACAAGATTCATCCGATACTTTGTTCAATTCTAAACAATTTTTGTCAAATGACTATCTTTCAAATACTTAATAGTTTCAGAAATATCAGGTTCTTAGATAATGGAACAATAATTTTCCACGTGAATTCAACAGTTTTTTAAGGAATAGTGAATTAAAAATGTGTTTCTATAAAACATTGCAAGAGTTTTTTAAATACCTTATTCTTTTTGTATAATAATTCATAATTGTCTGTACGCTTGTCCTAAAATAAATCTTGAATGCATAACGAAACTTCATCGTAGTAGGCTTTGATTACAAGGAAACAAAAATTTTGTTTAATGTCACTCAGAAATGAAAGTTGATAAAACGGCTAATTGTATGTTATGAGAGCTTGAAATTTGGCTAATTTAAGTGAAAATATGGTTCAATATACTAATCAAGAAAAAGACGATATGTTTGTCATTTATTTATGGTGAATGCAGAGAAAATTCTAGAGCTGCAGTGAGATTATATTCTGCACGATTCCCTAACAGAAGAAGACCAGATCAGAAAACATTTTTAAAGTTGAATAGAAATCTTTTGCAGTATGGAAAATGTCAATAAACGTAAACGTTTAAATACGGTGACAAATGATAGTAGTTTTACAACGTGGGAAATAATCCTCGACCTTCAATTAGAAATATTTCAGAGAAAACTAACATATCAATTATGTCATGTCACAGGATACTGTCCAGAAACAAATTCCATCCACACAAGGCACATGTTGTTCACCATTTACAACCCGAAGATCACGAAATATAGTTAGATTTTCTATCTCGTTTCTCAGTTTTGTAACCAAGATGACAATAGTATATTTAAAAAAAATTGTTGGACTGATGAAAGTCGATTTTATAATAATGGTTTCGTCAATAGGCACATATGTTATTATTGGTCCGATAATAATCTGAGATGGACAAAAGAAACTGGTTATCAAAATAAATTTGGAATAAATGTGTGGTGTGACATATTAGATGGATATTTCATTGGTCCTCTTTTCTTAGAGAGACAATTAACTGGCTCACGGTATTTATATTTTTTGCAAAAATTTTAAATTTATTAGACGATATTTCTGTGGCAACAAGACGTGATATGTGGTGGCAACAAGATGGCGCTCCTACCCATAATGCACAGGTAGTTACAGAGAACTTGAACAGATCCTACCCTGGGAGATGCATTGGTTACAAATGGGCCGATTAGATGGCCAGCAAGAGCGCCAGATCTAACGCCTCCCGATTTTTTTATGGGGGGACATTAAAAGATATGGTGTATACTGAGCCAATAGAAGATATGGATAAATAAGATTTATGCTAGTTATGCGGCAATTACACGTCGCTCTTTACTTTCTTCATGCAATCAGGAACTACGGTGTCGCTTTGAAATATGTATTAGCGAAAATGAAAATGTTTTTGAACACTTGTTGCAATTTAAAGTTTTTTAATTTGCATATTTTATTTCACCATTCCTGAAAAATAAAACTGTTAAATTGACTTGATAATTATTATTGTTCCATTGTGTAATAGTCGAGGAAATAAAGCACAAAAAGAGCTGAAATCTTCGAAATTTTTCGATCAAGTCGTATCAAAATGGGTTTTTTTGCATTCGCTTTCTAAAGAGCGCACCGAAAAACCCCCTGCTGCGATTTTCGGCTCGTTTACGCGAATTTGACAGGAAAACTCCCGGAGATGACTCCAGGTTCCGGTGCAACAGGTGTCCGGGGGGCGTTCGCCGACGCCAGATTAGGAATCAGCGACCTGAAAAACCCCCGGGTGTCAAGTCTTGTTGCATTTAAGAGTGAAATTTACGTGAAGCCTCGGAGATGGCGTTCATCATCAATCCTAAACTCCAGGTCGGCGATGGACCAATTTGAAGGTCATATTCGGGATCAGCGAACTCGAAAACCCCCCCGGACCCTAATTTGAGTCCATTCCAGGCATTATTAACCGAGTTATGAATTTTTTCTAAGTGACATTAAAAAAAATGTATTTTCTGGATGCATTTTGCACTGCACAAATGCAATTTGGCCGAAAAACATAATACAAAGTTGATACATTTTTTTCACATAATTTTAAAAACCTAATGCAAAAAAACCCATCTTGATACGACTTGATCGAAAAATTTCGGAGGTTCAGTGCTTTATTTCCTCGACTATAAAGTGATACTTCGAAACTCTAAAATACGCTTGAGTTTAAGCCTCAATGACTGAAAAGTCCAATATCTCTGAAACTATTAAGTTTTTGAAAATTAGTCATTTGACAAAAATTGTTTAGGATTGGACAAAGTATCGGATAAATCTTGCTACAAAATTCCTGCCAACAAAATACTTTTTTCGACTTCAGCGCCATCTCCAATTTGCTCTGAAATCTGTTTTTTTTTTCAAAATCAAAATATCTCTTTCCGTTGCCGATTTTATATTTGTATATTATTGATGAAACTAACCTTTTCCTAACGTCATTTAAGTAAGTAAATAAATAAAATATATGAATTTTATTGAGTTATTCATATAGGCATTTTAGGCCAGGAAAATAAGCTGGAAAATGACCCATTTCGCGACTTTTTGTTTCGGCAAGCTGAATTTATCACTATAGATGCTAAATATTATGTACAATAGCCTATTAGTTTTCACAGTCATAGAAATGAGGGGAAGATTGTTTACAGGGTGGTTAATTGTATAATTTTTACGTAAATTCACGTTTTTCGCTTATAACTCTTTTCCGTTCATTTCCACGAGAAAACAGTAAAGTACTTTTTTTCGTCTTCAAAAGACCTACAAAACTAGATCTCGATCGTCAACGAATATTGATTAGATCAAAAGTTATAAACAGAAGAATTTTATTTATGACTTTTGAATTAAACATTTATAAACTGCGTTATTTAATTATTACCAGAACGTTTTGGCATCGCTTCTTCTCATTCCTTATCACTGTCTAATAACGCACACGAAACCTGGAATCGGTAAGTTGAATATTTTACAAGTTATGGCCTTATAAACAAATTAACAAATTATTAGTCCGCACGATCCCGAGCATCTTCTACAATCGCAGTTTTTTTTTCATGGTAAATTTCATAATAATACATTGAAATCTTTCATTTTTTTTATTTTCAAATTTGCAACCTGGAAATTTCTTTTAATTTTTTACCTTAGTTGCAAAATGAAATAGACGACGCACGAGCGTGATATAGTTATATTTTATTACATATTCGGAAATGTTATGAAAAGAGCTTTAAGTAAAAAAAAATCGTTAAGATTCGTTGAAAAACAACGGAGTTACAGATTGTCAAAGTTGACGGCCTATTGTTAAACAAATTAGGTTGGTAGCGGCAAAAGCAATACTGTCATAACCGGCAACCCATGTACTTTCCCAGGTAAAAATATTTGATTTGTGTA